GTAGAGGGGGGTCACACCAGTTCTCCACAGGGAATGATTCAGGACATTCTATTCCATTATATTCACAGGACTGGGGATTTGGCAGATGGACTTCCTGAATCATCAGTGCTGCATTCCAGGAGAGTGGTCCCTCTGGGTTTTTTTATTTATCAATGGGGATGCAGGACATGGATTTGATTGCAGTATCCAGGGATACTCTGGCAGATGCAACAGATGCCCCCATGGACTCCTGGATGCTGTAATTTCTGATGTACCCACTTCCTTCAGTAGAGTGTCCTTCCTGACTCCTGTGGAGGATGGAACTGCAAGGCATGCTTGTCATCCTGATAGCTGCAAAGTGGCTAAAGATAAATTCTGCATTTAGACCGGGTTCATATCATAGGAAATTCCCTGTGGCAGCTTACGCTTTAACCTGATGTTTCTTTTCAGGGTCTGATCCTGCTTCTCTGTCATTGGCTTTAATGGAATTGCTATTGAAACACAGGTGCTGAGGGGTCTCTGAGACAGTAATTTTCACTACGTTTTGAACCCATTAACTTGTAAGATTTAACACCACACCTGGAAAACTAAATGTTGGTGGTGTGAGTCCCTAGAATTCAGCCCTCTGTTCTACTTTGTTGGGTCCTCTGTGCCCTTTAGTCAGGCACATCTTGGTGATTCTGTGCCAGCATCCTCTGGCAAACAAATCTTTGGTTTAAACCTTTGTTCAGGGGGGTTACCTACATATCTTACTCACATCTGCAATCTCTCCCTTTCTAATGGTGTCGTCCCTACCCCTCTAAAACAAGCATTGGTGACCCCCATATTAAAAAAACCCTCTTTGGGTCCACCAGTCTGAACAACTTTAGACCCATCTCCTTGCTCCCATTTACCTCCAAACTTCTTGAACGGCTGGTCTACAACCGCCTGAGCCACCACTTTAGCGTTAACAATCTCTTTGACACAGAAACTGCACTTCTGAAACTGAACTTCTCAAACCTTTTTTTAACAATCTATTAACTGCTAAAACCAATGACCACTACTCTATACTCATACTTTTAGACCTTTCTGCTGCCTTTGACACAGTTGATCACCCGCTTCACCGTAATAAACTCCAATCCCTTGACCTCCAGGACTCTGCTCTCTCATGGTTCACCTCTGACCTATCTCAGCTCACCTTCAGTGTCACCTACAATTCTACCTCCTCCTTTCCTCTTTCTGTGAGGGTCCCCCAAGGGTCTGTCCTTGGGCTCCTTCTATTCTCCATCTACACTTCTTCCCTGGGTCAATTAATAGCCTCCCATGGCTTCCAATACCATCTTTATGCTGATGACACCCAAATCTATCTCTCCACTCCTCAGCTCACCCCCTCTGTCTTTTCACGTATCAATAATCTACTCACCGACATCTCGGCATGGATGTCACACCACTACCTCAAACTCAATCTGTCCAAAACTGAGCTTATAATATTCCCTCCTCTCCGTGCTCACTCCCCCTGAATTCTCTATCACAATCAGCAGCACTACAATCAACCCCTCCCGTCAAGCCAGGGTACTCTGTGGAATCCTTGACTCTGAGCTTTCTTTTCAGCCTCACATCCAATCACTATCTAAGTCATGCCGACTCAAACACTGTTAAAAAGGGGTGAATTTTAGAAATGTTACAAACGAAACCAAAAAGCTTCTAATTCACTCTTGTGTAATCTCCCACCTTGACTACTGTAACTCCCTCCTTGTTGGCCTACCACTAAACAGGCTGTGCCCCCTTGAGTCTATCATGAATGTTGTTGCCAGACTTCAGTGTTTGCCACCCCTCTCTGCCAATCCCTGCACTGGCTCCCAATTGCCCAACAAATAAAATTCAAAATACTAACAACAACATACAAAACCATCTACAACTCTGCCCCCAGCTACACCTGCAACCTCATCTCAAAATATCACCCAAACCGTCCTCTCCGCTCCTCTCAAGATCTCCTGCTCTCCAGCTCTCTTATTACCTCTTCCCATGCTCGCCTCCAGGACTTCTCCAGAGTGTCTCCCATCCTCTGGAACTCCTTACCCCAATCTGTCCCTCTATATCCTATGCTACCCACCTTTAGGCGATTCTTAAAAACTAATCTCTTCATGGAAGCCTATCCCACCTCAACATAACTGCCCTTTTACTTCCAATAACTAATCTAAACAATTATTACCTTTTGTATCACTTGCCCATCCTACTAGATTTTAAGCTCTCACAAGCGGGGCCCTCCAAACCCTATTGTACTGTAAATTGTATTGTAACTGTACTGTCTCCCCCATTTTGTAAAGCGCTGAGCAAACTGTTGGCGCTATATAAATCCTGTATAATATTAATAATAATATCTTGCGTTAGGCCTCCTTTTGCTCCCTGGGATATAAATTTTGTACTTTTCAGTTTTTCATAAACCTCCTTTTGAATCTATTTGGAAGATTCACTTGCTGACCTCATTCCAGATGGTACCTTTACTCGTAGACATTACTTCAACAAGGAGGGTCATGGCAGCTTCGTCCTGCAAAATGCCCATCATGCACTAATTGTGTTATGGGGCGTCAGTTTATCTTGCTGCTACAGCTTTTTTTAGGATTACTTTTTTATCTGGACATTCCCCACAAGGGTGCTCTGGCGTCTAGTGTGACCATATCTGAATGCATTCACCAAATCATTTCTTTGGTTTTTGCACTAAAACAGCATTTTCTGTCCCTGCTCACTCTACCAAGGAGATGTGTTCTTTCTAGGCCTTTTTAACACCAGGCTTCAGTTTCCAAAGTTTGAATTGCAACTACCTGGTCTTCCATTTACACTTTTTTTTTATTCGGTCAGGTGAATGTGGCTGCTTCAGCAGATACTAGCTTTGGATGTAAAGTCCTGCAGGCAGCTGGGTGATGACTCGCTTCACTTGTCCTTTATGGTTTTCAAGGGCTTGCTTCCCTATTGTTCTGTTGGGTGTCCTTACCCACCCCCTCAAGGGAGGGGTGGGAAAGGACACCCAACAGAAGAATAGTAGTGGAAGGGCTTGATGGGTCCCTCCCAGAGCTCTGCTTTCTGCACAGGCTTTGTTCACCACAGTGGTGATGTCACTGCTACTTTTAGAAGGTAATACCTAAATTTGCAACACATTTGATGCACATAAACTGTTTTTTTATCTTATGTGGCTATATATTTGAATAAACAATTTTTTGACACAATTTGCATAATCACTGGAGTTAATTTACTAAAGGATTATGGTCTGTTTACTTTGCAAAATGTGCCTTAATTTCTCTTAATACATATTTCATTTAATCATGTTCCAGAAAAAAACCCTATAGATTTAATTTCCCTTATACAGTAAACTTCCAGTTATTATGACTAATTTCTGGTTGCTTGAGAGTTGATAGTAACTCTCAAGCCACCACTCCCCCTCTCAGCGCCCCCCCCCCCCCCCCCACAGCCCTATACACTTGCCGGCTAGCTTCCACAGCCAACAGGTGAATGTAAGCAGCTGGGAGCACTAGCCTGACTGCTATTGGCTATTTCAAATTGCAATAGCAGGCTGCCTATTGAAACCCTGCGAATGGCTATTTTAAATTGCAATAGCAGGCTGCCTGTTTAAACCCTGCCCACTAGCAGAGAAGCGAGTCTGGCCCATCTGTTCAGTGAGTGGGTGCAATAGCCAACCTGCTATTCGCTATTGTAATTTGAAGTAGCCAATAGCAGGCTGGCTATTGAAACCCCACCCATTGAGCAGAGGAGTGGACCTGAGAGAGAGTTCTCTCCAAGGTTCACTGCTCTGCTCAGTGGGCTGGGGTGCGATAGTCCGCCTGCTATTGGTTATAGCCAGGCCTAATAAAAACTTCATAAAATATGAAGAAAGCCTGCACTGTGAGTCATGAAAATGTGCACATCTATACATCATCACTTTACTTCTTCATTACCACAGTAAATGCTAATCACTTACAAAGGTGGAAATGGGCTTTAAACGTGTTAACCAAGAATACTTAGGTTTTAGATCTACCAAAAACTATGTAGTGTTTGTAAATATAAAAAAGAGCATTGTTAATGACATTGTACAATTTTATTTTAGCAAATATGGCAAGCTTTACTTTGATCATGTAGTTACTTATATGTTGGATATTGCAGCTAGGCTGCCAGGAGCAACAGTCTGTTAAGAACTCCAGGGGAAAATGTTATTAACCCTTGCAGTGGGGCAACCCCACCGCACTGCAAGGGTTAAGTGCTTTTTTTGTCTCTAGGTGCTAAGAAAATATTACTCTCCAGACCATCCGATCTGGCTTGTTCTTAGACTGTTTAATTAAAATGTCTCTCCCCCTCTGCTGCAGTAGCCTAAGGATCCTAGTGTCATTACGCTCTATACACTGTGGGGGCAATTTATCAAAACTGGAGCAGACATAATCTAGAGCAGTTGCCCATAGCAACCAGTTGGTTTCTCTCTTCACTTTGTTCAGTTAAGGTTTGAAAATGAAAGAGAAACGCTGATTGGTTACTGTGCACAGCTGCTCCAGATTTTGTCTGCTCCAGTTTTGATAAATTTCCCTTTGTGTATAGATGTAAGTACTCCAAATAGCAGTCTAACTGTGCAGCGGAGGAGTAGACACGCCTCTGTGATCACAGAAGCAGGGAGCCGGCTGGTATGGTCTGGAGAGTATAACTTTTTTGGTGGTAGGCCTAATGCAAGGGTTAATAACATTTTTAGCCAGAGTTCTTCTTTAAAATGCACCTTAAAATTATAACCTTAAAATTATATATTCCTTCACATAGAAACCAACTTTCCAGCTACTAAAGTTTTATGTACAAGTTAAAATCTTGAATTAAACACTTTAAATAATCGCCATTTATATTTAGAATAATATAATAATTTATTATATCATGATAATTTTACAAAGATTTGCTATGCAGCCACTATGCAGAACTAAGCATGCATAAGCTAAATTACATTTTTAATATGTTTTGATCATTTTGGCATTGTTTCTTATGTCTTTAACTGTTGATCCATCTTTATTCATTAGGCTTTCTAGGTAAAGGAGACGTAATCACTAAAGCAATACAAGAAGCATGTCAACTTCTTCAAGGAGAGAACATCATTTCAGAGCACCATGAAAACCACAATGTTAAGGTGAGAAGTACAGAGAACAGAGGTGAATATCTTGTGAGGTGATGTTCTGACACACAGGAAGGATGTAGAAGGTACCTTCTAACTTTAGAACCAAAGAGGAACATCTAACAAAGATGACATCACATCTATATAAAAGCTTGGCTGCATTGTGCTGAATACTGGGTGTGCCTTTAAGAAGAACTCCAGAAATGTTAAAAAATCTTACCCTTACAGCAGGGCTATCCCCACATTGCAAGGGTTAAGTGCTTGTTTTGCACTGGGGGCTCAAATAAAGCAGCCTCTTCCCGCTTGCACTCCGGCGGTCTAAGGACCACTGATGTCATCATGGCTAATGCAGGTCCATTATCTTGCATTAGACCTGAGGATGTCAAGCTACATTCCACAGCTGGAGCGGAGGTAGACAGAGGTGAGTGCTGACTGCCACAGGGCCAAAGATCAGGTGAGTATATCTCCTTTTTTTTTTTTTAGCCCCGTAGACTAAACAAGCACTTATCTTTTGCAGTGGGGTTAAGTTTTTAAATTCTTTAAAGAAGAAGTCTCACAAAAAATATTACATTTTTATTTTATCTACCAGCACTGCAGGGCTGTGATCTATCTGCTGGGGCTGCTTTTAAATACGCAGCCTGGCAAAAAAAATCATAGCCCTGCAGCGCTGAGTGATCTCTTGTGAATAGCAGTTCTGATCTCTAGAGCTGCTACTGCTGTTAGAGACTAGTGCTGTCCCTCCAAACTCTGTCTCCTTGTTAGCAGCATGTTTGGGCATCTGTGGCTAAACTATCCGATCATGCTACTTGAAAAAAGCAGGACAGATGTTAAATGGGACCAAGTGCTATGTGCACCTGGTCCCCCGGAGGATGAATTTTTTATTTTATTTTATTTTTAGTGTATTTTCAGTCCCTGTATAAACAATATATTCCTTACTGTGGCACTATGTAACATACAAACATGCAGGATACAAGAGAGTGTACAGCACAGTGTATTTAGTGCAATCATCAGGAGTATGCAACATACGTTGCTGATCACAGCAGTAAACAAAGAACCCCCAAATCAATGGTAGTTAGGGGTAGTAAAGAAAAAAAACTGATTGATTTGCTGTCCAGCAAATGACTGTGAATAATAGCCCTAGAATTATTACTCTCACTCTGGAGTGTGCAGGATTACCAAACATGTAGCAAAATCATCGGGTGGGGGACTTTTACAAAAAAAGTTTTTTTGGGTGTTTTTACATTTATTTTACAAATATATATATACTTAACGTTATTGCTATCACAAAGGCTCACAAGCCACCTACATGATAGCACATTGGAGGTAAAAGGTTCTCTTTGATACCTAATGTCACCTTTGCACTTCAATGAAGCAGTACTAATACCGCTGCTTAATGTAGCACTTACTCCTGGGCTGAGTGGGAGGGCAAACACACTATTTACTTCACCAAACAGGCAAAATTCGTACCAAATTCAGGTTGGGCCCAATTCCGAATCTCATCCTTAGTCTTCACTATCATAAACCATGCTGGAGGAAAATATGTAATATTAGTGTTTTTAGCATGCATTGTATCTTAATTTAAAGAAGAACTCTAGGAATTTTTCAACCCCTGGTGTGGGGCTACCCGTGCACTGCAAGGGTTAAGTGCTCGTTTCTGTCTAGGGACAAAAATAACAAAGTTATACCACCCGAAGCTCCAAGCCGGCTTCTTCCTAGACCGGTCCTTCCAACATCTCTCTTCTTCATCGGTCTAGAGTCCCGTTAATCACCACGTCTATACACAATGCATAGGTGCGAGGATGCTGAGGAAGATTTCAATGCTGTAGAGAGGGGGAAACAGGCTGGAGGGAGTGCTGTTACAGCTAGCCAGCTCAGAGATTTGGCTGAATATATCTTTATCTTTGCACCTAGACTCAAATAAGCAGTTAACCGTTAAAATTGCATTCAAGTATTGACAAAAATGTAGCTTATTTGTGTATCACTTGGCTGTGGATCCTCAAATCATCTCTGAATTGGTGCTGACACTGTCCTTCCTTCTGGAGGGTGGCTACTTTTGATGCCCATGGTACCTGTGTGTGTTGTAAAGTAGCCACCATTCAAAGCTCAGTCCCGTGATAGACTGCAGATTGATAGATTGCAGATGATGATAGACTGCAGATAGATACAGTTTTTCACGTGTCCCTCTCCCTCTATGCAAATCTTGTGCCATGTAGATTGAGTTTTGTAAAGATCTGGGTCCCTCAGAGACAATTAAACTGCTCAGTAATACGCGGCAATAGGTATCTTTTTTTTTTTTTCTGACACTTGAATGTACATAAAAGTTATTTGCTTTAACTGAATCTAGGAGCAATGAGCTTAGCTTGATTTAAAAACAAAAGAACAGCCAGCTCTAAATTTTCTCCACTGTTTTGTGTACTGCAGGAAGTGCTGGACCCTAATCCTGAAAAAGAGGTTCAAGATGAACAATCTCAACAGCAAATTGAAGAAACTCTGCTTCAGTGTAGCGTGGACATTGATGGTAATGCTAAACCTACAGTATTTTCATATGGAACATATCCTGTGCAGGGGAGGACTGAGTTGGGTGGCATGGGGCATTTGCTCCCCAGGCCAGTGCTAATAAGATATGTTAGGGCTGGTGGCCCTAAATGAAGATACTTCCCCACTAAGACAACAATCAGAGCAGTACCTGCAGTCAGTGACATGAGGTGGACATTGTAGAATTACCCATTCCCTGTTTAAACTTGTAATCATAGCTCCTGGCAAAGGGGAAGTCTTTCAGTACCAACTTTTTCTTGCAGCTCTTAGATGTTATTTGACCAAGTTCTAAGAGCTGCAAAAGAAGCTGGTGTTAGAAAATGTGAAAATAAACAGTATGTTAAAATAAAACCATGTTCTTTTAGTAACCCTTCCTTTTCACAATGGCCACCAATTATGGAGGCACCACTTTGTGTTTTAGAGTTATTAATCTGCACTGATCATTGCCCAAAAAAAACAAATACAATGCTGCTCTACAGAAAAAAAATGAAAACATCTAAATGAATATCTTTCCACACCAAAGGTATAGCGCATTTGTAACTACTAAATCATATCCAAAAGATACATCTAGTAAACATTGAGGGGAATTCATCAAAACTGGAGCAGACAAAATGTGGAGCAGCTGTGCATGGCAACCAATCAGCTTCTCTCTTCAGTTTGTTCAGTTAATACTTAAAAATGAAAGAGAGAAGCTGATTGGTTGCCATGCACAGCTGCTCCACATTTTGTCTGCTCCAGTTTTGATGTCTCTCATTGTGTTTAAAAAATATATCCACCGCCTATACAACAAAATATACAAAGTGAATTGTGAAGTCTTATTGTAACCAGTCCTCCCAAGCAAACTTGTTTGATAAAAAACAGTCATTATAAATGTGAAATCTTCTTATTTCAACACCTCCATGATAAACCACTTATCCAAAAAATGTGCAGTACCCCACAACTGCAGGTGTTCAACTTCCTCCTCACTCTGATCTGTTATTCATTCCAGCCACAATTAATTTACCATGATATACAAGAAAGAATCTCCACAAAGGGTAATACCACAAAATACCATCATATTTCATTAGATTTTAAAACATTGATGTATTTCTTATAATATGGATGTATTGGTTATTAAATAGATATGTACAGTCATGGCCACAAATATGGGCACCCCTACATTTCTGTCAGATAATGCACCACTTCGTGCAGAAAATTGCGCCAATTACAAATGTTTAGGCATTCTCATGTTATTTTTCTTTTGTTTGTATTGGTATGACACAAAAAAGTGGAGAAAAAAAAGCCAAATCTGAAACATTCCACGCAAAACTCCAAAAATGGACTGGACAAAATTATTGGTAGCGCAGCCCTTGGAAAAAAAACTGAAGTCTATACATATACATATATATATATATATATATGTGTGTACTTCGGTCTGTGTCCCCTCTGATCCCCGCTGCTCTCCCCTGTTGGCAGAGGCAGTGGTGATCGAAGGGGACACAGAGCTGATTTAGCTGCCGGCGCCCAGCGGTGAGGAGAGAAGCTGCCAGAAGGCTGAGCGAGACATTACGGGGGGAGGACAGCTGTCAAGATGCCTAGAGGGGCAGAGCGGGGAGGAGAGCTCTACTACAGTGATAGGTGGGAGGGGGCGAAGCACAAACATTGAGCAATAGTACTGATCACTCAGTGTTTGTAAATAACTGTCGACATAGTGTTCACTATGTCCCCAGGTATAAATGAACAGGAAGTCCTAAACCTCATTTCCTGCTCATTTATGATTGTGGACACAGTAAATATTTACTATCTACTCACTTTATGAATGAACAGGAAGCAGCTCAATACAGAGGCTTACTGTCCATTCATGACTGGATTGATAGTAAATATTTACTGTCTCCAGATTGTGAATGAACATAAGCCTCTGTACTTAGAGCTTCCTGTTCAATGAGTGCTGGGGCTGTAGAAAAAGAGATTGAAGACTCTGTGTCCTCCCATCTCTTTTTCTATTTTAAAAGGCCCAGAGCCCCTAACAGTAAAGTAAAAAAATTAAAACATTTTTAAAAGGGTTGAAAAAAAGTAATTTTCAGTTTTGGCCTGACAAATTTTGAAATTTCCATTTCGGTCTAAAAATTTCATTTCGGTGCATCCCTAAAGATATATAGCAATCAGCCGTAACATTATGATTACCATGGTCTCCATGCAGCTGATCTTATCCTATTAACTTACAGTACACAGCAAGGCATGATATTTCTGTATGGAGGTAGTCATCATGGTAGAGGCAGGCCTTTTCTGCCTTCTGTCAGAGCCTCCATGAATACAGTGGCTATCACAGTAGTGATATCACCAAAGCTCACTCCAAGTCTCCTTAGACAAGCAGACAGAGACAGCAGTGCCTTAGATTCACACTGCAAATATATAGCTATAAGGCTGTAGGTACAGGAGGGCCTAGGTACACAGATATACCATGAATTGCACTGCTATTTATTAGGAAGAATTCAAGGCAAAATGCCATTTTTTGGTTGCTTAGGCACAATAATTACTTCTAGATGTTACCTATAACATATCTTCCCTTTTCTAGGTCCACTTTAATGTTCATATCTGTATGAGATTTTTATGGGGAAAACAGTAAGTAAGAAGTATTTTTCTGTAGAAGGGGAGTGGCAAATACAGTATGTGCAGTACATACAGCAAATAGGCTAATGTTCGGTTTACCACTTAAGGACTATAGGACTATGGACATGCGTCTGTTTACATCCGATGAACCCCGACTATGGCCAGGTATGGAAAAACAAACAGAACAGAGTTCTGTTTCGGTGGCTCTGATCGGGGGTAATCTGATGTAAATGGACACATGTTTATCTACATCCGACTCTCCATCAACATGGGTTCAGTAATTTCATTTTTTTTCCTCCATCCCAAGATGTGGGATCCCAAGGGCAGTCTCTGCTTGTGCATTGTTACATACGCAAAGATTGTGATCTGTCGGAATAACAAAATATGCCAACAGGTGTGTACAGTCAGGAGCTATCTGACTTAACATGACTTGGATCAGTTGTTTAGGTAGGCCATCATGCTACATTGATGTTGGTAAATTTATGTGATCTAACATACCAAAATTTGACTGTGTATGTGGCCAAATTCAGTGTCCAATTCAGGAGAGAATGCTAGAAAAAGTTTGGGTGTCCTGGATCTAATAGGTATTTTAGTCAGAATTCCCTAAAAAAAGCAAATGTGATCTTTGAGACTTGGGGTAGGTAAACCTCACCCTTTTCTTTATTCTCTATTTTAGGATCTCATCAATTTTCTCATGGATTTGTCAATCACATTAAACGCCCAATGAATGCTTTTATGGTATGGGCCAAAGATGAACGGAGAAAGATCTTACAAGCGTTTCCTGACATGCACAATTCTAGCATCAGCAAAATCCTAGGTGAGAACATTTTGAGAATGTTTGTGTTAAAAAGATATGTCCAACCAATTAGGGCTGCAGCTAACAATTATTTTTATAATCGATTAGTTAGCCGATTATTAACTTCGATTAATTGGATGAAATAAAAAAAAAAATAATACCCTCATTTATTTCAAATAAAATACACAAATGCAGCATTACAGACAAAGTTTACGTCAGAATAAAATGGTATGCACATTTTAAAAAATTGCACTGCACTGGAACGCAGGGCATTGCAATACCAGTGCGGCCGATCACACTGCAAACGGGAGGTGCATTTGGGAACAATTGAAATGCATGGCACCGCAACGCACCTCCTGCAGCAAAATATGTCAGGCCGAAACTGAAAATTACTTTTCCCACCTTTTGTATATAGCAGGGTAGGTATGAGGGGCATCGGGGGAATGCAGTTACAGCGTTCTCTCATCCCCGCTGGTGCTAGCTGCAGTGGTCTGTGTCCCCAGCTGCCTCTGCCAAAACAGGCGGGATGAGCAGCGAGAATTGATAGGGACCCAGAGCACTGCAGCCAGCACAAGCGGGGAGGAGAACGGAGAAACAGATCGGCGGCAACTAATCGATGATGAGAATTGTTGCCAAAGATTTCATTATCGATTTATAATTGATTTCAATCAATTCGTTGTTGCAGCCCAAACATCACAATGTCAATGAGTTTGTTAGCTCTCACGTGGGTGCACTGAGCTGCCTAGTTACTGAGCCATGGGGAGCAGGAAAAAACTGTCAAAAGACCTGCGTAACAAGGTAATGGCACTTTATAAAGATGGAAAAGGATATCAAAATATATCCAGAATCCTTTAAAAATTGCCAGTCATTACTGTTCAATCACTTAAGAAGTGGCAAATTTGGGGATCTCTTGATACCAAGCCAAGGTCAGGTAGACCAAGAAAGATTGCAGCCACAACTGCCAGAAGAATTGTTCGGGATACAAAGAAAAACCCCCAGGTAACCTCATAAATACTTAATCTCATATTGAGTCCAAAAGAGCCCATCATGAAATGTATAAAATTGTTCATTTGGAGTCAGGACTTGGGCTTATAATATAAAAGTTTGGCCCAATGAATAAGAGTCCCCAAACCCAAATTTAGAAAGTATTTTGCAACAGGAGGTCAGATGTCTTATCAGGGCCACCATTACCCTGATGCCCACGTAATCATGCATCACCTGCATATTAGTAAAGAGGGGGCATAAATTAATGGAGGGAAGAATAGACAGGGATAAGGCCTTTCTGGTCAGCTTTACCCAGGGATGTCACTCAAACTGCAGGTTAGCAGTAATTTTTGCCAGTATTTTCAGATCTGAATTTATCAGGAAAATGGATCACAATGTAAATAGACTTTATGGGGCTTGGGTATGAGGACAATCAAGGCCTCCAATCGGGGTCAGGGAGACTTCTTTAAAGGTATGAGAGAACATAGAACACAGATGGGGAATAAATAGGTACGTATTTATACTGAGCCTAACATTCAATAGGAAACCCATCCAAACCCAGCATTTTATCATTTTATTCCTAGGGAAAGAAGGGATAGCCTTTCAATATCATCAATAGTGATGAGCATTTTCAAAAGTGAGCGTGGGGGATCTTATAACAGGTAGAGTGATGTGTGCTAGATAATCATCCAGTTTCACAGAACCTGAGCCTGAGAATTAATGTATAAAGTTCACTATAGAAGTGTGAAGCAGGGGCGTAACTAGAAGTCACAGGGCCCCATAGCAAAACTTTGTATGTGGCCCTGTGATTTCTAGTTGCGCCCCTTGCAAAGCCCACCTGAGATTCCAAACAGCCCACCTGAGCGTGACCCTGCAGAGCCCACCATAGACTCTCTATGGTGGACTCTGCAGGGTCTCAGGTGGGCTGGTCACACCCCTGCACACATCTTACCTCTCAGCCCCGATCCGCTGTCAGCCTCCTCCACGGTTGCTGATGGGCCCCGCCTCCTCCGCCACCGGGCCTCTCTTCCGCTGCTGACGCCAGGCCCTGCCTCCTCCTCCACAGCTGCTGGCTGTCACTGACTCAGCAGTGACTGTGAGGAGGAACGTGCCACTGCATAGATCACTGACAGGTTGTCTGTGATCCGAACAGCGGCGCTTTCCTCCTCACAGCCGCCAGTAACAGCCAGCAGCCTGACCAGGCAGTGACCCAGGCGGCCCGCACGGCATCTGGGGAACCCCTTTGTTCCTTGTCCTGGCCAGGCCCCCCTGGGCCCCATACCGGCCACCTGGTTCGCTTTGGCGATCGTTCCACCACTGTCAGTGAAGGACTTCTTCCATTTGTTCAACTATGCAACTGCAGAGTTCATAGTGCGGGGTATTTTGCAGGGTCTATAGTCAGTTCTAGATAGGCTAACAATTTACTATTTTTGTCTCAGAGTGCAAATATTCTCTCATTTTGGTATAACAATTTTTTTCTGGGTGCAGCGTAAAAGTAGTAAATGATCGTCTCTGGAATTATTCCTTTAGTTTCGAAAGCCTTAAGGGATAGGAGATTTACTGATTTACAGCACTAGTAATTTTGGTGTCAGAGTTTGCATGCTGTGCGAGAGGGGGTGGTCTGAAATTGCTCTTGGTAAATATTTAACCTTCGATACACATGAGAGAACCGTTGTAGATATCAAAACCATATCAGTTCTAGAGAGGATCAAGCATGAAACACTGTTTTATATAAATTCTTCCACTGTTTGCCCTTTACCCACCGGTAATGCTAAGGAATCACAGTTCATTGCAGTGAAAGTGACTGTCCATTATTTGACATGTTGACCGAAATTCTTTCCAGAATACACATAGCTCACTCTCTCAGGCTTGGTTATTAAATACCATCTGTATGTCATGACTGTAACCTAAACATATGGTATTACAATTAGACATAACCAAAATCATAGACTCTATCAAATCTGCTTGTGTACATTCCCAAACTGAACAAATAAAAATATAGATAATTGATCATCACTTCCTGCTTATTCTTGCATAAAACCTATATGAATAATACCCTATAAACATCATAAGTAATATTATTAAGATTTCTAACAGGGTTCAGATACACTTTAAACTGGGAATGATTAAAGATAAACTTTGGGCACAAAAACCAATTTGAATTTGACCCAAAGCGCACAGCGAAAATGACCACACAGTGGTTGGAGAAAAAGGTGAATGTCCTTGCATGGCCTGATCAGAGCCCAGACTTAAACCCCATTGAAAATCTGTGGAATGACTTGAAGACTGCAGTCCACAAATGGTCATCATGAAATTTAACTGAACTTGAGCAAAGAAGAGTGGGAAAATATTGCAAAGTCTAGATGTGCAAAGTTAGTAGAGACATATCCCAACAGACTAAAGGCTGTAAATACAATTTTAACAAGTACTTTGCAAGGCAATGTATATTTGATTGACCTGGATTCATTATTGAAAAAAAGTTTGAGAATTTAATACTACTTTTATTTTTAGGGGACTGAAGTGATACCAAAGGTCTGTGAACTCTAAAGCACTTTAAAATGTGCCATTGCTAAATGAAGAAAAAAAAGTTTCTTGATTAGTATTGTAGATAAGTGGTAATCGTAAATCCCTGCCATCAGTTTACACAGTCACACGCGTTATAGCTGATGAATACTATTGCACTATCGAGGAGAATCCAAGTTATCTGCAATGCTTCTGTAAATTATGAGGTTTTGTAAACTGTCGAAGGCAGTTTATTGGTTTTTCACAGAGTAAGATTTTTATTAAATTATTACATTTTAATTTTTGCTTCTTCACCAGGTTCTCGGTGGAAATCTATGAGTAACTCTGCAAAGCAGCCATACTACGAAGAGCAGGCACGACTTAGCAGGCAGCACTTGGAAAGATATCCAGACTATAAATACAAGCCAAGACCCAAACGTACATGTATAGTAGAAGGGAAAAGGCTAAGAGTGGGAGAGTATAAAGCTCTTATGAAGAGTAGAAGACAGGATTCAAGACATGGATACATAATCACGTAAGTGTGCAAAGACATGCATTGCAAGAGACTGCATACAGCATAGTCTCTTATTTACATAGAAAACAGCTGATATTTACCACAAACTAAAATGACTGTATTTACAATTTTATTTGCACAAGTATTTGTAGATGCCCCATTTTATTTTTAAAAAAAAGCAGCATCTTTTTGCTGCACCCACTAAAATCTTGGCACTCTGATATAATGGTTCACAGGCAGTGCCATTAACCATGCAGAATTAGGTGGCAATACCAGATTTCACCAGCAAACATCCAATGTCAGATAAATATCAGCTGTGAAATGAAGGGTCCTTTCATGTTAGTAGAGATTTTGTATTTTTTTTCTTGGCAAATTCCTTCTCCTACATTAGGCACACAGAAAATGATCTGAGGAAACCACAGTTAACAGTGGGCATGGCCACATCATAATAAAAACTGTGTATGGGTTACATTTTTAGGCATGGTTAGGACAACTGTACGTATACACTGTACATATTATACGATAGAATTTAGAGGTTTCTGAAATCTGTGAACAAGCAGTAATAATAATTTATTTTCTCTTCAGAACACAGGGTTCATCGCAAAATCCCTCATCACCATCAGGGTTGCATTCCCAACCTATAACAAGAACCATGTCCCAAGTATCAACCTCTGACATATACCTGGCCACGGATGACAATATGCCAGTAATCATCAGCACCAGGAGCCTTCAGGACCTAAAAGGAGCTATGTCACATATGCCTGAAATGTATGGTAATTTTGCAGACTCTGGGAAGACCGATGGTGCACTTGTAGTTATACCAGATTAAGTGAGGGTTCACAATATGCATATATGACCTTTCCTTTGTCCATACACATCTTACAAACATGAAGAGATATGCTAAATTACCTAACAGACTCAAAGCATGTTTTCAAATTTCATATACGTCATGAGCATTCCCTCTCTTCTTTGGTGACAGTATTTAACATACATGTTTCTCTCTGTTTCCTGAATAAACATCTGTGGTGCCATTTGGAATAACTAGGTTTAGCTATAGATGGCAGGGTTGTTGATCTCTTATTTTGGGACATCTGTTTATCTGTATATCATCCTCTTTATGGGCATTGTAGAAGAGAACAATGCATTTAGCATTTTAGCCCCCCTCCCCCACCCCAGAAGCAGTACAATATTATCCACACCTGGAGAAGAAATCGGCTTCTTTTCCTCGTCATGGATGAAATCCATACTGTCACAGCCAAGCGGGTTCTGTGGCTGATGCCTTGGACAGACGATTTAATGTCTAAGCAGTCATAGTGTCACAGGTAGGGAATACAGGAGGAATTGGCAATGCACACAAGTTACGCTCATGAAGCCATCAAAAACCAAATCCATTTTGATCCTGTTGGACTCCACAAAGTCATTTGGCTTCTCGGCCATTCACACAGCTGTGGTGAGGCCAGGTTACAATGCTAAACACAGGTCTGGGTGGACAAATGCCAGGATCCATGGGTCAAGTCAGCTGTGCTACAGGGCCATGTTTGGGCATACAAGAAATCTCCTTCAAGGGACTCCTTTGTGCCAACTCTTCTTTGAAATTCCCCCCAGAAGTTGAAAGTACTGCTCCAGTACATTCCAGGAGCAAGGTGCAGTAATCCCTCCTGTTTCAGCAAATCATTTACCACATATATGCTTCCATGGAGGCACCAGGATAATGGAAAACTGAATACTTACCTTCCCATAATTATAATTTCCTGGTGCCTATCCATGGCACCATATATGCCCACCTGTGTTCTGATTTGTTTATAGGAGTTGTCAGCGGTGGGCTCAAACCCTAGTATATATAACTGGTCCTTTTTACACCCCGATTCCCAAAAAGTTGGGACACTGTAAAGTCTACATAAAAACAGAATGCAAGGATTTGCAAATCTCATAAACCCATATTTTATTCACAATAGAAAACATATGAAATGTTTAATCTGAGAAAATGTACCATTTTAAGAAAAAAAATAAGGTATTTTCTAAATTGATGGCAGCAACACATCTCAACAAAGTTGGGACAGAGCCATGTTTACCAGGGTGTAGCATCCCCTCTTCTTTTAACAACACTCTGTAAATGTCTGGAAACTGGGGAGACCAGTTGCTGGAGTTTTTAAGCGAGGAATGTTGTCCCATTCTTGCCTGATATAGGATTCTAACTGCTCAACAGTCCTGGGTCTTCTTTGTTGTATTTTTCATTTCATGAGGTGCCAAATATTTTCAATTGGTGAACGGTCTGGACTGCAGGCAGGCCAGCTAAGCACCCAGACTTTTCTACTACGAAGCCATGCTGTTTTCAAAGATGCAACATGCAGTTTAGCATTGTCCTGCTGAAATATAAAAGGCCTTCACTGAAAAAGATGTTGTCTGAATGAGAGTATATGTTGCTCTAAAACCTTTCCAGATGTGCAAGCTGCCCATTCCATACACACTGATGCACCTCCATACCATCAGAGGAGCAGGCTTTTGAACTGAGTGCTGATAAAAAACCGGAAGGTCCCTCTCCTCTTTAGTCCAGAGAATGAGGCGCCCATGTCTGCCAAAATGAATGTCGAATTTCAATTCGTATGACCGCGGAACAGTTTTCCACATTGCGACTGACCATTTTAAATGAGCTTTGGCCCAGAGAAGATGGCAGTGTTTCTGGATCATGTTCAGATATGGCTTCTTCTTTGCATATTAGAGCTTTAACTTGCATTTTTGAATGACACGGGGAGCTGTGTCCACAGGCAGTGATTTTTGGAAGTATTCCTGAGCCCATGCAGTGATGTCCATCACAGAATCATGCCTGTTTTTAATGCAGTATCGTCTAAGGACCCGAAGATCATGGGTATCCAATATTGTGTTTCGGCCTCGTCCCTTGCACACAGAGATTTCTCCAGATTCTCAGAATCTTTTGATGATATTATGTACTGTAGATGATGATATAGTTAAAGTCTTTGACATTTTACATTGAGGAAAATTATTATGAAATTGTTCAACAATGTGTAGTCGCGGCGTTTCACAGATTGGTGAACCTCTGCCCATCTTTACTTCTGAGATATTCTGACTCTCCAAGATGCTATTTTTATACACAATCATGTTACTGACCAGTTGCCAATTAACCTAATTAGTTGCAAAATGTTCTCCCACCTCTTCCTTGTTAGTACCACTTACTTTGCCAGCTTTTTGCTGCCCTGTCCCAACTTTTTTGAGACGTGTTGCTGCATCAATTTCAAAATTACCTTTTTTTTAAATGGTACATTCTCTCAGTTTAAACATTTTGGTTTATCAGACTTGCAGATCATTGCTTTCTGGTTTTATGTAGATTTTACAAAGCTTCCCAACTATTTTGGAATGGGGTTGTAGTTAGCATACCAAATGTATGCTGCCATGGGTGTACACCATGTAAGAACAAAATACCAAAAGATAAGTATTACAATTTTTGTTTTTAATTTAATACACTAATGTCCTATTTACAATGAAACTTTTATGTGAGCCTGCTTTGCAATATTAGAAATTATGTTTCCCTTATTATCTTCAACACTGACGTTATATGCAGTTTAGTAGTGTAAAAAATATATTTTGTGCATACAATTGTTATTTTAAAGTGAAACTTTGACAAGATTATGGACGTTTGTATTGACATATTCCTAAGAAGCAGTAAATAAGCTTTAAAGCCCAACTGAAGCTTTCCTTAAAAGTAAACACATTTGGTGCAGCAAATTGTAAATGTGGAAGCTCTTACTTTTGTTTTATTGGCACTGGAACTGCCTCAGCATTAAATCAGTCTAATTCCCCCACATGAGACTGCTTCTCTTGTGTGCAAGCAGTGGCCTCTCTGCAGCAGTCTGATAAGCCTCCAACTGAATCACAGCTAGCTATGCAGTTGGAAGAAAACAAGAACTTTGCTGATTGGATATCTCTTGCTGTTACTCAACATGCTGGCAGGGCAGAACGCAGTAGAAAGGACACTGCTTCAGCACAATTTATTGCTCAGGGTTGACCTTCTGATAGTGACATCGGTGGGCCCTGCCTGCACAATGAAAATCATCAGGGCCTATTATATATTTCACACCAGAAGCGCATTTGGAAGGGTGGTAATTGAGAGCAATTGGAAGACCGCGACAAAGCATTGTCATCCTTTAACAAGAAGTGCCTGAACAAGGGCTTTCATGGCTCAGTTACCAGGAATTTTAATTAAACTGGGCTTACTACTTTAAACTTAACAATCCATGAGCCTCATACCTCAAAAAGAGACAGTATGTAAATATATGTATATTTTTATATCTGTGTAAATATAGGTTCTAGATATATATATTTTGGTTAAAAAGAAAGTAACTTACGCTTGATATTTTTCTCAGTTTGTCTGTGTACTGTGCAGAAAAATAAACACGTGTGAATCCTCTCTGTGTCTGTTATTGTAATGTTAAGAAAAGTCTTTCAAAATGCAACCAACAGATCATGGTAAGAAAAGCAAATAGAAACAAAGTGTCCTACACAAAAATAATGTAGTGTGTTCTTAGGCCTGGTTCACACCGAGGCGTTGTCGAGCAGTTGAAAAAGTGCTTTTAAACTCTCAACACAAGAAATCCCATGATTTTCAATGGCCTCTGTTCACACCTGAGCAGGAAAATGCCAAATGCCCAAAAAGGTACGTGAGCTTCTTTGGGCAGTTAACTGCGTGTTTTTACGTCATATACTTCTATGGAAACACACGAAAACACGCAGCACATTTTTTGTATGCGCGTACAACCGCGCACAACGTGGAACTAACCACATGCTGAACATGTGCATACAAAAGCGCAAAACCGATGCCTAATGGGTCTGGTATGAATTTTTAGGAAAACCCCACACTTTTTTTTGGGGGGGGGGGTGGGCAGTTTTTTACACCACAGCT